AGAACCTGTGAGACAGATCTCTTGCCTCACCAAACTCAAGACTAATTTACTTGGAAGTGAAAAATAAGGACATACAAAACAATATACTGTACAATGAGATGCTGATGTTTTGGTGAGGAAAAAACACAATGAAACTTCAGAAAATAGATGAGGAATAATTACTTATTACTGTAATTTAACTATGTAATGTGAACATTTTATCATAAGTATTTGCAAATTCAAATGTGTTAACTCTCAGATATATATGAATAAAATTTTAGATTTTATGGGCAATGTTACATATTTTACACATCACAAGTTGGACTTTAAAGACCGATTTGTGATTAGAAAACTTTTCTGTCCCTATTTTAGATTTCTAACTTTCTGTAAGAAATGTTTTCTTATCTACACTAAATGTAGTGACTCAGGAAAGCTGATATATCTAACATTAATATCATATACAATGGTTGATTAAGTCAAACTGTGTATGGGTATGGTTAATACAGAAACCTTTAAGTAATGAGCAACAGGGCTCTTTAGTCTATGTCAAATACTTGAAATGATTACAGAGCATCTCATTTTTTTCCTTAATTCTCCAAATAACTACTTATATAACCATGATTGAAATTATTTAACTTTGATATCTTTTTCATAATTTTGTCTTATTTTTCTCATTGCTGATACAAAATACCAGGCATCTAAAGTTAAAGAAGGAAATATTTATTTAACTCACTGTTTGTAGAGGTTCCAGGACTTATTCAGCTGGCTCTAAGGTGGGTCACAGAGGAGAAACAGTTCATGGTTGACCCAAGGTAGCAAAGCAATAAGAGACCTTAACAGTGTCTTTTTGCCCTTTTCATCTTATCCAGACTATTTAGGGAGGGCATCCATCATACACTTAATCCTAGGGCCCTAGGTCCTAGCATTGCACTATGAATCAATTTCAGTGCCATATACTCTAGATCCAGCCACCCCCCAAAAAGCCCCACCCATGACCACATGAGCCTTTGGGGCGACATCTATACATAAACCATAATGCTTTAAAAAGATGGGCAAGGAACATTCAGCAGATATTTTAAAAATGTTTTTAGAATGTAGGAAACTAAGTACACCATTGTTTGGGATATTTAAATTTTAAGCACATAGGAACAGAATTATGTTCACTCGAAAAAATTTTGTGCTGCAGGTGACAGGAACTGTCCTGTGTAATGTCAACAGAAAAGATAATAATTGAAATCATATCAGTAGCTACTAAAAATAAAATAGGAAGACAGGAGAATCAGGCTTAAAATAAGAAGGCAGAATTTAAGTAATGTTAGACAGACGGAAATACAACCAACGTTAAGATAAGAAATGAATTGGTGGACATAGCACCCCTAGCATGACTGCTTTACCCTCTCAGCTGGCACCACTGAGCTGTTCATGCTTCCAAAGCTGTGAATACTTTTTCGGCTCTGGCTTTGCCTTTCCCCCACTTCTATTAGTCTCAAGTATTTTATATGCACACCTGCTGCAGATTTTACCTGTGCATAAAGTCACTGCCTACTATTGGTGGTGGGCACATACAGAGAGGGAGAAACAGTCTCTTTCAACACAGGGAGCTGTGACTCTTTACCTCACCCAACAGGTCCCATCCAATAAGGCCTTTATTCCAAAGTGGAATGATGGCGAGATAATGCATAGCAAATACAAAGTTTTCCACTGTATGTAAGAGGGGTACAGCATTTCACATTATATTTCTCTATTTTTATACTTCTCTTTTTTATTATCTGTTATATTATGAAACTATTTGGTATGACTTAATAGGCTGATTTTGTAAATCACACATTTATAACAAACTAGATTTTGGAAAAAAATACTTTCTACAATATTCTCTTGCTTCTGGGATAGTGAGCCTTACTACTGCTTATTAATTTGTTTTCTTGCAAGTGATTTTGAAACTATAAGGGGTCATTTAGATTTTAAATGAGCCTTATGTGTTTCTATAGACACATTCTGAAAAATTATAAATAAATTTAAAAAGAATTAGAAACTCATTATTTGTAAAAGTACAGATTTATAATACACACAATGAATACTTTTTATATAATGAGCAGTAACCATTGTCCTCTTACATATAATGTTTTGTAAGCTCTAATCATCCTGTATGTACTCTGCAGATTTCTCATTATATTAAGGTAATATAAGATGCTGAGGGAGTTTAAATAATTATAATTTTAGAATATTTATCAAGAAATACGTCTGTATGTAAAGTGTAATATGCTTCAATCAAAATGAGCAACCTCTATTATGAGAAATCCTCATTAGAGGTAGAAATGCTAGGCAGGGTATGAAGCAAAAAGTATTTCCTGAAATAAATTATTTAAAATTATCATTCGTTGTGCACAGTATAACATGCTTCCCTATTTTATACTATCTTTATAAGTATGACATAAATTTTTGGTATTGAGGTTAAGTATAACCCATTTGTATTCATCATTTTTATTCCCAAAAAGTGAAGTTAAAGACAACAATTCATGTAAAACTTCAATCAAGGAAAATTCTATGTGTTTGGGATGAAGGTCAAGACCCAGAATTAAATGCAATGCAGTATAAAGAATTGAAAAGATGGACTGATAGTTGATTATGATATAAAAAGGAAAATAAGTGTGCATAAGATATACAAAGTGAGTGGGCTGAGCTGCTTTATATTTCAACAGGGAAACACTGAGGTCTCTACAGATGAAGTACTTAGCTGTCAAAGTGAAAAAGACAAAAATGAATCATTAATAATCACTAAAAACTTAAGCAGATGCATCAAAAATAAAGGGAAACCATACTTAGGAGAGAATAACAGCATTAGTCTAAACTATTACATTGAGATTTTTTTTCATTGAGTTTATTAGTACTTTTTAGGTATACAGTACAGTTACATTCATTATTGGGATCTTTCACCTTTACATGACAGGTCTTAGTTCTCATTTTTCCCCATACTCCTGCCCTCCCTTCACCCCCTCCATTGAGAATTTTTAAAATGTCTTGATAAATTTATATTTTATTTTTCATTATATCAAATTGTATATATTAATATTTAGTAGCCCTATCTAGATAGAACAATTAATGAATAAACAAAGGAATTGTAGGAACTTGGAAAACTGCAAAATACATTGTAAAGTTGCTGCATTTAATGTTCATTTTAAGGCTGCAATTTATTATGGTCAACAATATTTTTCCTCTTTGAGAGGCCTCAGAAAAAGTAGTGGTTTCTAACTTAGATGTGAGTAGAGCATTTCTGAAGATAAGGGAAGAGGGAATGTGGGTCTCTAGGAGGAAGTGAATGGTTTATACTTTGAAATAGGTAGTGACTCATCCTGTGTCATTTCTGTGGATTCAAAAGATATAATGCAAGAAGGAGAAATAGGCACTGTGCCAAAGGCAAAATCATGCAGGGGTAAGAATGGCTGATGGTCCATAAGAAGAAATGACCCTTAGAGTATCATGCAAGAAAAGCTGGAAAGAATTGAAATGACATTAATTTATTCATTCATTTCATAAATATTTCTGAGTATATACTTCTAGGCATAATTCTGGTACTTAAAATATATCAGTAAATAGAACAGACTAAAAACTATCATAACAGATCTTTCACAAAGGTAAGTAAAATAGCATAAACAATCAAATTCTTTCACTTTATTTTGTTTTTGAAAGTCTCACTATCCCACTTTGGTCTTGAAGTTCTAGGGTCAGGCAATCCTCCTATCTCAAAGTCTTGAGTAGCTAAGACTATAGGTACATGTCACAGTACCTGAATGAATACTTTACTTCTATAAATGCCATGGCAAGTATGGGAAAAAGCAATCAGAACACTAGAAAGAGAGAGAATATAGGTACGGAAGTGTATAGGCAGTATGTGCTTTAGTGAAATGATAAAGGTGTCAAGGAGACAAAGAATGAGCTGTAAAGTTATCTATGGAAGAGTATTATTGATTACACAGTGTGCCTGAGGAACCCCAAGGAGTCCGTCATCTATGAAATGGAGAAAGTCAACATGGAGAATAGTACAGACTGAGGACTGAGGTGTAAGTTGTGTGATACACTAGGCAGAGCATGTGAAAGCAGATGAGTTATTATAAGGACATACGCTTTCCCTAAGCTCTGAGATGAGAGCCTGTTAGAAGCCCATGTTTTAGGATCAGTCTGGCTACCCAGTAATAGATTCTCAGTGGACAGGGTGGAAAGCCAAGAAACATTGCAATATTTTAGGGAAGTGGCAATAATAACTTGGGCCAAGGAAGGAGTAGTGGGTCTTCTTACCACAGTCTATGCCAAGCAGCTTAATGGGGTTACTCAGAGATGTTCATCAATTAAAATGAATCTGGCAGGTGTTACATACATCCTATGGATGAGGAAAATGAAACAAAAAAAGGTTATACAGCTCATTGAAAAGCTTAGAATTAGTAATTAAAAATCCTGAACATGAATATAGTCTGTGTGGTCTAGAAATTTCAGTTAATCATGAAAGAATTAAATTTGGCTCACCAAGAAAAAGCACCATATTTTTTTAAACTTGTCGCTGTGACCAAATGGAAGATTTCATATTAGACTTAATCCTCTATGCCTAAATTTGAGGGTAGAACTTGATTGCTTTTATAACTAGTATGCAGATGTTTGTTTTGCTTTTTCTATTTCAGAAACATATCAATAGTCCTAAATTCATTGAGAAAAACAGGACAAACAAAACCAAATAACCAAAAAGCGACTAGTTCAGTAGGACAGTGGGAAACAGTGCATATTTGTTCTATCTTTAATTTGCATTGGACAAACACATCATCTTATTGGTAAAGATGTATCACATGATGGGGGGATTTAGTTCAGTGGTTCCACCGCCTGACTCACAAGTGCAAGGAGCAGAGTTCAATCCCCGGTAAAAAAAAAAAAAAAAAAAAACAAAAGA